CCACTTGTCCATTTTTGCTTTTACTGCCTCTCTTTGGTGTTATATCCAAAAATCATTACTAAGACCAATGTTATAAACCTTTTATCTATGTTATTTTCTAGGAGTTTTACAGTTTAAGGCCTTACATTTAAGTATTTACTCCATTTTTAGTTTATTTTTGTGTATGTTGTTAGGTAAGTGTCCAATTTCATTCTTTTGCATGTCAATATCCAGTTTTCCCACCAGCCTTTGTTGAAGAGACTATCCCAATTGTGTATTTTGGCAGCATTATTGAAGATCATTATTGAAGTTGACCATATATACATGAGTTTATTTCTGGGCTCTCTATTCTGTTCCATCGGTCTATGTGTCTGGTTTTATGCCAGTCCCACTCTATTATAACTGTAGCTTTATGTTGCTTTCTTGAATTGTTGCAATGAAGCCCACATGGCTTACATAGCCTAAAAGATTTCCTATGGGTTTCTACATAGGAAAAGTTTACCTACCCTTGAACTAGACAAAAATGTGATTTCAGGAGACATCTGGACTTACCCTAATCCCAGGGGGAACTCTGTTGTGTTAGTTGCGACATACCTAGAAAATAGTGGTTGGGGCTAACTCTTTAAATTGGTCGTTGGCTACAGGCGACGACTCCTGGAGGTCTGCTGAAGAATTTAATCTCCCAAGTGTCTCTGAGTAAGATAGCTCTCATTAGCCAAGTGCAATCCTCCAAAGAAGGGAGCAGATCTGAGCTACTCACAGTCGGTGGTTGCTATTGCTGGGAAATGAGTGTCCCGGCCTGGTAAATGGCATCTGGACAGTATCTGTTACAGGTGGCAACACTAGTGTCTCACATGTGGTGAACTATTTTCACTGTAAACCATGTGTGTGAATACTCAGAATATGCAAACAACAATCCAATTAAAAATGTACAAAAGATTTGAACAGACACTTCCCAAAGAGATTATACTCGACAAATAAACATATTTTTCATATAAAAAATGCTCATCATTTCTGTCAGGGAAATACAAATTACATTACCACACACACTACAATAACTAAAATAATTTTTGACAATATCATGTGCTGGTGAGGTTGCAGAGAAATTGGAGATAATCATGTTTTTCTGGTGAGAATGCAAAATGACACAGCCACTCTGGAAAAAGTTTGATAATTTCTTATTAAATTAAGCATACCGTGACCACATGACTCAGTAACCCCTCTCCTGGATATTTAACCTAGATAAATGAAAACTTATGTTCACACAAAAACCTGTATATGGGTTTTTATAGCACACTATTCATAATCACCAAAAACTAGGAAAAAAAATGGAATGTCTTTAAATGAGGGAATGGATAAACAACTATTGTGCATCCATCAGCAATAAAGGAACAAATTGTTGATATAAGCAAAAACTTGATGAATCCCAGAAGTATTATGGTAAGTGAAAGAAGCTCGTCTACAACAGTATACACTCTATGCTTAAATTTATATGACTTCTTGAAAGGCAAAAGTATAGTGACGATGAACAGAACAGTGGTTGCCATGGCTTAGCAGTAGCAGAAGAGCATGAATTCCAAAGAGACTGCAAGGGAGTTTCATGGGATGGTGAAATTGTTCTATATCCTGACAGCGATGGTGGTTATACAAATCTATATACACATTAAAATTCATAGAACTGAACTTCCCCTCAGCAAAATCAATCTTTTTCTATATTATTTTAAATAATTAAACCAAACACACACCTCTCTCGTCTATGCTCCAGCCTAGAGGTAAAATTTCTGAGCTCCTCTTTTTTTAAGGTTGGACCATGAAGTTTTTAAGGTCAAGTCACGAGGCTCACAGGTTTGTACTTAGGATGAGCACCTGTAGCTCTATTTACATCAAAACAGCCACTACCCTGTGGAAAAGGCTGAAGATATCCCACCATTTGAAAACCCCATTTCATTGGTGTCCAGCTCAGTGTTCTTGATACTTGAAGCTACTTTCCTTGGCTATGGTAAAAGACTAAATCTGTTCTGAAGGAACTGTGACAATTTACATGAGAGTAAGTACATAGCAAATCAAAAATAACCTGTACTAAAGATGAAAGATATCTGAAAATGTGGTTGGATGATTGGCACTCTGACCCACCCTATCACACATAGTTCTAGCAATTGCGGTCTTCTCTTATAGAAGCAAGACTCACAGTACTATAAATGGTTACTTGCTGCTCATAAAGCAACAGAAGAGGAATACATGTCCAGGTCAGGTAGGCCAGCTTCAAGAAGGAAGGGTGGAAAAGAGGACTCAGATATAAATGTCCAGTCTTTCTATCCCTTCTCATCAATAAATTGTGTCATTGCTTCTCTCCTTGCCGGGACTGAGCTGGAGAGAGACCCAAAGTGTTTACAGTCTTGGATCTCTCTTCAGCCAAAAAGCCATACCAGGCATGGGGGAAATATTCTCATCCTTAAAAATCAATAATGAATATGTGTAATGTTATAACATTCTTAGGAATATATCTGGCAGCATCAATTACAATTACAAACATGCATACTCTTTGGGCGAATAATCCCACTCCAGGTAATCTCTCTACCACTATACCAGAAAATATTTACAAGGAAGTTTAATGGAACATTTTAATGATATATACAAAGAGTTTATCACAAAAAAATTTTGTTATAATTGCTCATAGTCAAATGAAACAAATAAGCATAGAAAAAATCATAAAGATATACACTAAACTATTGGCAAAGATCGTTTTTCAGTGATAGGACAATAATATTTACGTCTCTCTCTTTTTATTTCTGAATAGTTGTTTCTACGAACAAATAAAATATATAAAAAGGACATAGCCATAGAGTGTATGAGCTCTACAAATAACATGATATTTATAAAAGTTTTTATCGAAATATTTAAACACAACAGAAAAATAGAGAGCACAGTATAATGAATACCTGTACACATCACCTTTGATATTTTGCCACACTTTTTCATCTGTTTTATTGCTATTGTTGAAGTACATTAAAGTAAATTACAGACATCAAGACATTTCACTGCTAAATACTTCGGTATTCACCTTAAAAAACAGTATTTTCCAACAGAAGCAAATATCATAAAAGTTCTAATAAAATGCATAATAATTTGTTGATTTCATCTAATAACCAGTCCCTATTCAAATTTCCCCAATCATCTTACTTTTTCTTTCAATTTTTTAAAATTGTGATAAAATGCACATAACATAAAATTTACCGTCTGAAGCATTTTTAAGTGTACAATTCAGTGGTATTAAGTACATTCATATTGTAATGAAACCATCACCACCATCCATCTCCAAAATTCTTGTCATCTCGAAAAACTGAAAATCTACACTCGTTAAACAATGACTTTCCATTCCCCTTCTCCCTAAGCCTCTGGCAGCCACCATTTCTAATTTCTCACTAACTTCTGTCTCCATGATTTTGACTATTCTAAGTAGAATTATATAGTATTTGTCTTTTTGTTATTGGCTTATTTCACTTAGCATAACGCCCTCAAGTTTCCTCCATGTCACAGCATATGTCAGAAATTCCTGCTTTTAGAAGCTAAATGATATTCCATTGTATGCATATACCACATTTTGCTTATCTATTCATCTATCAATGAATAATTGGGTTGCTTCCACATTTTAGCTACAACTAATAATTCTGATATAAACATCGGGCATGCATATATGTCTTTGAGACCTTGCTCTCAATTTTGGGGGTATTTATCCAGAAGTAGGATCATTGAATGATTTGGTAATTCTATTTTTAATGCTTTGAGGAACTGTCATACCATTTTCACAGCAGGGGAACCGTTTTACATTCTCACCAACAATGCACAAGGGTTCTTCAGTGTTGATGGTAAGGTATTGAAGTTTCCAACTATTATTGTAGAACTGTTTCTCCCTTCATTTCTGTCAATTCTTTCTTCACATATTTTAATGATATGTAATTACCTGCATAAATATTTATAGTTGTTATAGCTTCTTGCTATGTTGAAACTTCTATTAATATAGAACATCCTTTTTGTCTCTCATAAACATTTTTAATATGAAGTCTACATTGTATGATATTAATGCAGTCAGTCCTGCTCTCTTTTGCGTACTATTCACATGGAATAACTTTTTCCATCCATTCACTTTCAGCTTATTTTTGTCTTTGGATCTAAAGTGAATCTCTTGTGGACAACATATAGTTGGATCTTTTAAAATCTATTCTGCCAATCTTTTTTTTTTTTTGGAGGAAACAATTTATTAAATACACTTGTTGGGGAAATTTAGACAGAATTTTTTTCTAAGGAGACTTTATTATCTTTATAATGACGAGGAAAAAAGGGGTATTCTTGGCTTATCTAGCTTTCTATATATGATAGAAACTTGCTCTTCAGCTTAGCTATTTTATGGCTTCTCTATGTCCATCTAATCACCAGTCAAGCAATCCATTTTATTTTTTCAAATTTATCTCTCCTATTTGCCTCCTCTTCTCTGCCTAGTGTCCCTGGTACACACACACTTCCATTACTCCAGCGTCCTGCCCCTCGCCTCTACTATCTGCCCCCTCCCTTGTCATTTGATCCCTTAGAGATGCTTCCTTTCCTTTTTTTTTAAAGATAATGTCTTGATTGATTCTGCTCAACTCTACGGAAAATTATATCCTGTTCCACAGCAGGATTAGCCTTTAATAATCTGAATATAGAATTCAATTGTTTAGAGGAAAATATTAATAGAAAGCCCTTGGTAGAGTTACATCAAACTCGTGCACACTGTAGATACCGCTGACTTTTTTTTAAGTAGTTTTTTGGAGAGGGTAGGGCAGAGGAAAGTAGTTGGTACTTTAAGGAAATGTTGGGGACCACTATGGAAATCTATTCCCTATTTCATGGCAGCAAACAAATCATTGTCTCTCAGTTAAGACAATGGTGAGACAACCTTTAAAGGTCATGAAACCTAATGACGAATGTTACATGCAAATGTTGATTAATAGTAACTTTATGTAGCAAGGCAGATACTAGCCAGCTTAACAGTGTTGCATGCAGACTGTTAATTCTGGAGTCCTGGAAGCTGTGAGGTGCTCATCCATCACACGGCCATCACAACCCGGCAGAAATGCCTGAGGAGAGCAGCGAAGCCGGCCATGCCAGCATTTACACATGGAACACTTCTTGGGAAGCCAGGTGCCATGGGGCACAGACCTGCAGTTTTCTTTGATCACATCACGCTCACAGTTCCGTCCGTAGAAGGAGAGTGGGCAGGCACAAAAGGACGCCAGCATGCAGGCTCTCCCATTCAGACAGCAAGCTTTGTTTAGCTTTTTACTGTCCTGGATTCCTGTGGATGGCACAAAGTGGAAAGGCCGACGACAAACTGAAGGCTTCTCCTGGGACCAAATGCTGTCAGCTCTGAAAACCAGTTCTCCTTGGGACAGACATGCAAGTTCATTATGGCCCAACCCAGCAACCAATCCCAGTTCAAATGCTGTGGAAATGACCATGATCACATTCACACTGGAAGAGAAGTGCTCCATCTTCCTGTGGTCCACAACTCCTCTGACATTGTCCCCTGAAATTCAGGCAGGCCAGAGATGGGAGGCAGCAGTAGGCAGGGCTGGGGTATTCCTCCAGCTGAAGAATGGCAGGGGCTCTAGTCTCACCCAGCTCAGCACCCAACAGCTCCTGATATCAAGCTCTCTCCTAAAATGGTGCCTTGGCCCATTCATTAACAAGTTAACTGCTTTCTGTTTTCACTTGTGAAATTAGCAAACAGCAACCGGAAACCTCTTCTGTATTTGCAACAGATCTCTGTGTCCAATCTGTCTTTTGATTGGAAGTTTAATTCTTTTGTATTTAAAGGCATTAAAGATAAAGAGGGGCTTACTTCTGTCATTTTGCTACTTGTTTTTTATACATCTTATAGTGTTTTTTTTATTTTTCTTTGCTGAAGAAGATTAGCCCTGAACTAACATCTGTGGCCAATCCTCCTTGTTTTTTGCTTGAGGAAGATTAGGCCTGAGCTAACATCTGTGCCAATCTTCCTCCACTTTATATGTGGGTTGTTGCCACAGCAAGGCTGATGAGTGGTGTAGGTCTGTGCCTGGGATCCAAACCCACACACCCAGGCCACCAAAGCAGAGCACACTGAACTCAACCACCACGCCGCTGGACCAGCCCCAACTTATAGCTTCTTTGTCCCTCATTACTTGCAGTACTATCTTCTTCTCTATTTAGTTGATTTTTATAGTGAAATGTTTTAATTCCTTTCTCACTTCCTTTAGTGTATTTATAACTTTTGTGTGCATGTGTGGTTACCATGGGAATTACGTTTAACATCCTAAAGTTTTAACATTCTAGTTTGAATTTATATCATCTTAACTTCAACAATACCTGAAACCTCTGCTCTTTTATAGCTCTGTCCCACCTCTTTTAATTGTTGATATTCACAAAATATCTTCGTACATTGTGTGTGTAACAACAGAGCTAATAATTGTTTTCTTAAAGCATTAGCCTCTTAAATTATGTAGAAAAGAAAATGTGGAGCTATAAAGCAAAGTCATAACAATTTTAGTTTTACAGTTGACCATGTATTTACCTTATTGCAATCTACATCTTCATTTGGCTTTGAAACCAGACTTAATTTGCAGACAAATCAGTCTTACTGTGGTTATCATTTATAGAAAGGGGGATGATTACAGAGAGAAAAATTATATTTCAGTAGTACGCCCTTGTGGATATCAGACTCTAGTCTTGTTAATTGTGTTCGAGGTTTTATCTACTTGTAACTTCAGAGAAATCACCACACAGTGGATCATGTAAGGACAACCTCCATGCCTGTTGCTGTATGGGCCATTCAAGAAAGTTCAGCAAAACATCAGATGACATCATCAAAGACAGACAAACTGCAAACCAGGAAGATCCATCAGACTGAAACTGCCATGCTCATTCCACCATCTGAAGATGCTTCCAACTCAAATCTAGAAATTTTTTCAACTGGCTGCTCTCAAACTCAGAAACTGATTTTAAAATTTGTTCAAATTTTTAACCTTGTTATTTCTTTTATTTCCATAGAAATGCCTCTCATTAAATTATCTAATTAGGTGGAAGTTCACCTGCAACACTGACTCCTGAAATGAAGTAAACTTGAGAATATGTGATTGCTAATACATCCTGTTGTACCTAATAAATATCTCAGAAAAAGAAAATTTTGAAACCCAATTATACATTACCCCCAAAATTATAGATTGACTTAGAAAGGTAAAACCTGAATCTGATTATAACCCATTTAAGTCATTTAATTGGTTAAATCCTGGCTCCTGACAATCTCTGCTTCTGGAAATTTTTCAGTCTTTGGCTATTGTTCTCCTTATGGTCATCATATTAACCACTCTAGAGTGTTTTATACTCTCAAGAGTTTTAAATGCCTGTCCACAGCCACTCACACACCAAATGGTATCTATCAGAATCAGACAACTGGATCAAATCAACAATAACCATATAAATGATGAAGGTCGTGATTACATGGCCCTCTGGCCTGATGACTCAGCTAATAGAAACAGTGAAAGTGATTTTTTTGCTTGACTACGTCAACAGTGGTAACCAAGAATAATGGTATATTTGTTGATCATACTCTCAGCCTGCTGTGAGAATGCCCAAAAGGGGGCGATTTTCAAAATCAAAAATAAATGGAGATCCACTTTGAAAATTCCCTGAGCAAAACCAGTTTGGTCATACAAACAAAGCTTTATTTAGATTATTTTGCAAGACTAACTTGATCTGGGTCATTTCTTCTTTATACTTCTGGAAATCATAAGCGAAGCTTAAAACTATTTCCTCAGGCTGATATGAGGTAGCCACTAACCAGCTCTCTATCATTTAGGAAAATTCTGCTATTATAATCAACCACTGTGAAGAATAAACACTCACTGCATTCTCACTATATAAGCTGTTTTATAAGGATGTATCCAGGAGCCTCATTCTGTTTTGGTCTGAGTGTTCCGGGTTTGCAAGCTGTCTTTATGGTGCCTGTACAATACAATTTTACCAATGCCTACTTTGGTGATTCATTGGTTTTACTTCTGAACTTTTTTTTTTTAAGAAGTTTCTCATTTGCTTTTTTAATTTTTTTAAAATATTGGCACCTGAGCTAAAAACTGTTGCTAATCTTCTTTTTTTTTTTTTTTTAATTCTTCTCCCCAAAGCCCACCAGTACATAGTTGTAGATTCTAGTTGTGAGTGGCTCCGGTTGTGCTACATGGGATGCCGCCTCAGCGTGGCCTCATGAGCAGTGCCATGTCTGCACCCAGGATCCGAACCTACAAAAACACTGGGCCACCAAAGCAGAGCACACTAACTTAACCACTCGACCAAGGGGTCGGCCCGCTGCTTCTGAACTTTTGACACCACTCATGGATGAATAGATAAAGGAAATATTGTCTTTACATGCAGTAGAATATCACTCAGCCTTAAACAAGAAGGAAATCTTGCCATTTGCAACAACATGGATGAACCTGGAGGCCATTAGGCCAAGTGAAATAATCTAGGCACAGAAGGACAAACACTGCATGATTCTGCATCTATGAGGTATTAAAGTAGTCAAACACAGAGAGTAGAATGGTGGTTTCTAGGGGCTGGAGGGAAAGGAATATAGGGAGTTGCTGTTCAAAGGGTATGAAGTTTCATTTATGCTAGAGGCATAAATTCTAGAGATTTGCAATATAACGTCATGCCTATAGTTAACAAGACTGTACAGCACATTTAAAAATTTAAGAGGGTAGACCTCATGTTAAGTTTTCTTACTCAAAAAGAAAAAAGGAAACCATCACAAAATTAAGAAAAATATCTGCTTTTTGGTAACATAAGACCTCTGTTCCTGAGTTGGAGGTCTGGGAGGATGCAGCCGCTCAAGAGCTCGAGAGAACAAGCAAGGAGCTAGAGCACAGAGCCGGAGGGAGGGAGCAGATCTGCCTGCTGGACTGCCACTGCCTCCCCTGAGTAAGCAGGAGCCCAGGCCGGGCTCAGGCTGCCCAGCCCCTTCCTCCCCACCAGGCTTGAGGGCTTTGCCAGAGCCGCAGGGAGGGAGAGCAAGTGAGAGAGTGCCTGCGCGTGTGCTGCAAGGAGAAGCCACTACCCACTCCGTCCGTCTTTCTTCTCTACCCCCTCCCCACCCCCATCCTCAAAGGCAGAGCAGCACAGTGTATGCTTGCTCTCAGCCCAAGTCAGTAAAAAAGAGCTCAATTTCCAACCTCTATGAGGCCCAGGAGTCCCCAGAAAAAGAACAGCAAGAAGCAGTTGGACATGTTGATGAAATACAAAATGAAATGGACAGACTTAATGAACAAGCCCATAAGGAGATTTGAAAGTACAACAAAAATATAACAAATTCCACTAACCATTTTTTCAGAAGAGGATGGAATTGCTCGCCAAAATCCCAAATATTGTGGGAATATCTGTCAGCCATCCACAAGTCTGCACTGCTTGGGGAGGATGATGAAGGGAGCTGCGCTGTTTGAGGAGAGTTGAAGACAGAGAATTTGAAGATATTAAATCAGGTTACAGAATAGATTTTTATTTTGAAGAAAACCCTTACTTCAAAAATGAAGTGTTCTCCAGAGAATTTCCTGAGACTGAGAGTAGTGATCCATCTTTAAAGTCCACTAAAATCAAATGGAAATCTGGAAAGGATTTGACAAAACGTTGAAGTCAAACACACAATAAAACCGACAGGAAGGGACAGCATGAGGAATCAGAAGCTTCCTTGGGTGGTTTACTGGCCATTCTGACACAGGTGCAGATGCGTTAGAAGAGGTCAGCAAAGATGATATTTGGCCTAATTCAAAGAAGATGACTAATGGAACAATAATGGATACAACCTGTCTTTTAATTTTCTCCAGTCCCTGAGAGTAAGTTGCAATCTTTTTTTTTCCTCTTGCGCTCAGTCAGCCGCCCTGTGTTTGAGGTCTCTTTCTTCTCCTTTATACCATGGTTCTAAATATTTGGGCTGGGGGTGGGGGGTGGGGGGTGGAAAAACCTTGAGCAGAATGCAGTGGCAAAAGAATCTCTCACCCTTTCTGTTCCAAATTCATTTTTATCCCTTCCTGTCTTAACACACATTTTATGGAATCAAGACCAGTGTACAATGTGCGGAAAAAGAAGGACCTTCCGCTCCGCCAGCTCTGCTGGAATCTGGAGGGTGCTAGGCCCTGTGTGGTTCTGCACAGAGTTCCAGCTTTTCTCCTCCTTTCTGTGTGTATTGGACTCAGAGATCACATTGTGTCTCTAGGTGAGTATGGACAGTTAGCATTTACCAACATCTATCTGTCTACTTTCTCTTGTTTAAAAAGCAAAATAAAACCAAAAAAATTGGGTTATAGAAGGTTGGCAAAAGATGTGTTGGAGATGTTTGGGTGGGTTAAGTGGGCATTTTGAGAACATAGCTTTTCCTTTGGCAAGTTTAATTGTGATGTTTAATGGACATACTTGCAATTTAAGATGACACTTTTCTTTCTTTCTTTTTTTTTGAGGAAGATTGACCCTCAGCTAG